AGGAACCGCTGCCAATAAATCTACGTGGGCGAGATTGCCTCTAAGATTAAAAGTACGCGGCTCCGTGAAGGGGAGAGAGGAGAGCATATAAAAGCGTCGGGATGGGAGCTGGGCGAAAAATTTTCGGTCGCACGAAAGGGACCAAGTAAGCGGGGGACCAAACGCTCTCGTTTGCATCCTTCTGGAGCTCGCACTTTACGGGCGCGAACAACCAGCCGTCGTTTCTCCTTTTTTCCCACCAACCGAACATGCGACATCGAGCAGAGAAAAGGACCGCGATGACCAATGGATTCCTCGATTAGATGCGGGGCTCAATTAAACTGCGAGACTCCGGGAGCCCTCCTTTACAACGATTTATCGTCCCTGCTCGTTTGCGCGAAAGTGAAGTTGCTCTGGAGAACGAGTGGATACCTGGATGGCTTTGTTCTCGCGTTTAAAATGGGAGAAATTCGTTTTTTCCGTTCGATTGAAGGCGAAAGAATTCAATTTTCCTATGGTGCTCCTCTATACCAGAGGAAAGATAGTGAAATTCTACGTGAATTCCATTGGGGACCAAATTTCGAATAAATATGGCTCGAAAAATTAATATTTTCAACTTTCGTTGAAAACGAACACTTTTACACAGAAGGCTCAGTTTTCGAGAAAATCGAATCTTGTATTCCAACGACAATTAAAAAATTAATTTTCCAATATTTCCGCAAGAGAATTTTCCAAATTTTCAAAGAACCCTTCGATTAAACTCGCCAGAACGAAACCGGAGCTATCTTTGACTCCTCGAGAGGCAAACATCTCTGGAGGCGCGACGTTACTTGCCAAAGGTGCGACTCTTCAGCGTTCGCAGAGCAGAAGAAGGACGAGAAACGCTCCGGGTGAGAGAGGAGGCTGCTGTGTGGAACGAGCAAAGAGAAGAAGAAGCCTCGTTACGTAGCCCGGGTCCGGGCGTATATACGCAACCTGAGATAACATCGGCCCAATACGAATATACGTGGCCGCGGGCGCGTAACGCGAATTAAAAGGATGACTCAGGCGTGGACGGGCGTGCTTTTGCGAAACGCGGGGATACCCTAACGAGCGGACGATTAAACGGAGACCAACGGTGTGCGTCGAAGTGTTGAACAGTGTCGATAAACGTCGTCTGGTTGGATGCCAAACGGATGAAGTCGTCTTACGATTTTGTCGGGCCGGTTCTCCGGCGTCGTGAACACCCGTAGCCTGGCTCCTCTCCACGTGTGCTATTACAATCAGCGCGCAATCTCTCGCGTTCTAATTGGCGGTCTGTGATCATTCTCGTGGCTGCATCGCGTGATTAGCTCGGGACGAAGGTTCGCGCGGCGATTTCGATTTCCTGCGGGAAGCCTCGGCGTTTCTGCCGTCGCGTTAGCGTGCTTCTTTGCGGTTGTCGGCACGGTAACTCTGCGTGTACCAACTCTCAGTTTGTTCTTCCCTCCTCTTTCTCTTTTTTTTTTTATTATTATTTTAACGACGTTGCTCTGTCTTATCGGCAAAAATCGAAGGAAGACGGCCGATGGAAATACGTCGCCTCGAGGCGAAAGATTTACGCGTACTTATCCCTTGTGACGTTTTATGATTGCTGCTGTCATTGTGGACGTCGTAATGCGCGGAGTAGTTAAGTACGGAGACGTATTAATCGACGTCCGATTCTTCGAAAAAATTATCTCTCGTACATGGTAGAACTGAAAGAGGGTCCCCCATCGCAATGGTAGATTCAAAAGGACGACTCTCTCTCTCTGTTCGGTACATATGCAGATGTTCGCCATCTGACGAATACCACCCAACTCATGCTTCTTGAAATCTCGAGAACGGACAAGAAGAGAATGGGTCCGAAAGTCACGCGGAATCTCGCGTCCTCACGAGAGAGGCCCACGTCTCAAGAGCTCGAATTAAGTTCTCTCTGTCCCTTGCGTTTCTCTTCTCCTTCGCTTCACCCCGACCAGTTCGCGCTCGAGAGAGACTCGGAGGCGCGATCTCGTAATTATTACGTCGCGGAAGATGCGAAGTGACGCGATGATTACCCCATCGCGGAGCCTGCTTTAAACAGCCCCCCATCTCGAGCCCTCTTCTCTCTCTCTACTATCCCTTCCTCTCGATTTATCTTACCGTTTGTGCTCGAGGTAATTGCGTTTCGATTTCAACCGAGACAATGGCGCCCGACGAGGCAACGCTCGCGAATCGAAAAACGACGATCTTATCGGTGCACGAAACCGATGTTTCGGTGATTTATCGCTTTAACTACGGCATTGAACGCGATGCCACAAGCTTATTATCAAGCATCCATCACGCTCGAATGTTAGTCTTTCGACTCTGTTGTACAAGTTTCAATTTTCACCCGCTTCTCTCTTTCGTCTCACCCTCTTTCTTCCTCGTTCACCGCGACCTTTTGTGTAAATTTACGAGCGCCGAAAGCCTGTATCGCGGTGGTTGTGTCGGTGAGCCAAGTCTGTGATTGTCGCCTGGTCGACGAAACGAAGCGCCTTCGCTAATTGTCGGTAGAGAGAGAGAGAGAGAGAGAGAGAAGCAACGACACGTCGGGAGCTCAGGCGCCGGAACGGAGGAAAAAGCGGGGGTTTTGGGGGCAGAGAAAGAGCGTCCCCTCGTTGCACGGTAGGACGCACAGGGCCGCCATTTTCGTGGCGGCGCAACAGAGGCGTAATAACTGCTGGAATTCATGGTAATGGCGATAATGCGTGCCTGGAACGATGGGGCCCGCAGGGGCTGAAACAAGGAGGAGGGCGGCTGCAGTGAGCAGGCCTTTGAACAGAGGTGGGGCACCCTGCCACGCTAAGGAAACTTATATATACGTACTATATGCATGTCTGAACGCCTCGGTAAAACGTACGTGCGAACGAAACTTCCTTCAGGGGAGTGCTGGCTTTCTGATTGGACGAATTCTTCCCAACGAGTACGCCAGCACGGCCTCTTCGTTTCGAGAGAACCCTTTCAATCGGTTACCTTTCCATTTCGAATGTTCGAACACCGGTTGCTAGGGTTCCTACCCAATTCCTCGTTGTACCGTTCACTTATGGTTCTACTTGTGTTTCGATATCCGATTTCAATTAATCAGAAGCTTGCGTGGAACTGGTTGCTGTACCAGATTTCGCTTGGATTGATTTTACTTTTTTACTGGGGGAGACGAGTTAACTCGTCGTTTGTTCGTTAATACTTAACATAAAATAATCATATTCAGATTTTTAATTATAAAGAGAGATTCAATATCTGTTTCAGAGGTGAAATTAAGATTAAAATTGATCTACTTTTAATCTCATTTACTGTTATACTTAAGCCTTTATGGATAGGGGGCCAACTATTTTTCTATCTGTTTCCCTTTAAACGCTTTCAACATGGAGTTACCCGACTATCAAGGTGTTCGTTTCATCGAAGGAAAGAGGAACGGTTGGTGAACGCGATCGTCGAAGCGAGAGCCATAGGAGTGGTCTTGTCGCGGCTCCGATTGGTCGAAACGTCTCAGCCGGATGTGGAGGTCGGGCTAAAGCGAGGGCGAGCTCTTGAATTATCCGTCTTAATTTGTCCGTCACGAGAATTAGCGCGAGTCGAATGAGGGACACGGGGAGAAAAAGAGAGGGGAAAGGAGTTTTACCAAGTACGAACGAACGCGCGCCAGGCCCTCCCATGGTGAGCCCAACCGTCGACCTTTCACCCTCGAGGACCCTGTATGTCGAGAGACGTACACCTTGCGTGCTCGTTTCTTTTCCACCGTCTCAACCAGTTCAATCACTATCGATTATGACATCGTCAACGACTTCGTGGTAGTAGTTACACACGAGAGACCGTTAATGTTCCTACTATACAGCAGGGCAAAAAAGCTCTCTTTCCACCTTATTTTTTCTTTTTCACAAATCAGACACGTAGTATACGCGCAGGATTGATCGCTCACGACCAGATGGTCAACACTTTGTTACTTAATATTTGCTTTAGGGATACATGCGTATCCTAACGTTCTATTACCCGACATTAAAACCTAATGGGCTGGTTCGCTTCGCCTGGCCCTAATGGCCGCTCGGTTTGTAACGTGCTGCGACTGTATTCCCAGCTGCCCCCAACCATCGACTTCTCAAGGCTCCGCTTGTAATGAAATCGTTTACCATTTTCTTGTGAAAAAGGGAACAATACAGAACACCGCGTGTATGCTCGATAATAGCGGTCATTTTCTCAGTCGTTGCATCGTGTAATAAATTCTGGCAAAAATTCGTCAGAGGACCTCTTGGTACACTGGGTTAAGGTTACTCGAGAGAAATTCTTCAAAGACGAGGAGGCTCGAAAAATTCCACCAGTCATCGCCAGGGTTGGAAGAATACTGTAGAATAGACCGTAGCATCGACTTCTACTTTGGATACAAAACTTCGTTTGTGGTATTCATCGGATAGGAAAAGCTGTTTGCCGTGTAAACAGGACGCAAATACGTTCGAGTATGTACAGAAGGAATAACGTAGACCCTAATGTTGCTACCAACAGTGCTACCTTAACCCTTTTGGAGAGAGGCTGGAGTGAACTGGTGACAAGGGGAACGAATCATAAAAGGTGGCTGAAAATTGTCGTCTTTCAAGCGTAGATACGAATTAAGAGTTATTGTCAGAGTATTTTTCTTCGATGTCTTTCTGAGGAATTTCAAGGTCTATTTTTTTTAAGATCTATGAAATTAAGGAGTGGAACCGCGTTGCAGAGGGAAAATGAGGACGTTATTTTCTTCGTCAATAATGAAAGATTTGTCATCTTGAGAACGCTGGACGCGTGAAATTAAGGAATGGAACCACCTTGAAGACGCTATTTTCTTCGTCAACACCGAAAGCTCTACAATCTCAAAGCACGCTGGACCCGTGAAATTGAGGAACGAAATCACGGTGAAGACGCTATTTTCTTCGTCAACACCGAAAGCTCTACAATCTCAAAGCACGCTGGACCCGTGAAATTGAGGAACGAAATGACGCAGAAGGTGGGAAAAATGAAGATGCGGTAGCGCTTACCAAGAGTGCCGTCGAGGGAAAAGGAATGCCTGTCGTTCCTCCACGCCCACGAGCACAAATCACAGGTGGTGAGCCCGTCGGTGGTAACACCCTCCTCTGGTAAATAAGGCGGCCTAGGCGGCGGTGGCACGAAGCTCCCGATCACAGCCCAAAGTGAGTCGACGTCGTTCCCGACACCCGTGTAGTACAGCAATTCCTCCTCGGCCACACCGGCAAACCAGTCCATGTCGTTTACGCTGGGCTGAACGGTGTTCGTGGTTGGTGTGCTCGTGCTGGCGACCGTCACCTGCAACGTGGACATTATCGTCAATGAAACGATGGTTTCAGCGAAACCGTTTAAAAAGGCAAAACCTCTTCTTCCCCTGCAATCAAACCAATCTCTTTCTCTCCCTCGAGTACATATACACACATATTGTAGTAACTCTCGTCTTGGAACATTCAGGAAATTGTCAATTTTCAAAAGAGTCACTCTTTCTTTGCCCCCAGGTTCAAACACGCGAATCATTCCGGATAAACACGGTTAATGGAAGCAACCTGGAAACGTTATACTTCTCAATTCGAGGTATATACATACACGCAAACTATACACGCATCTGTCCCATACGACAGAGAGATCACGGTGAACAGACTGATGATCCTCTTCCGGCTGTGAAACACCAGGGCAAATATACCAACTAAAAAGCGTACACCGTTCGACCGGTTCTCGTTTCGTTCCTCGAAAACGAGAGAGCGGCACTTTTGTGGGGTCAGGAACGCGGTCGGTTGTTCTAACTCCTACGACAAACAACGAGAGAAGAGCGGCGCGGGCGGCAGCAAACAAATCTCTTTCTTCTCTCTCGGTCCCCGTCGTCTCGTAGTTTTACCGTCACGGATAAACCTCGATAAACAGTGACAAAGCGCTTGTACGTGCCTACTCGATCCGTCGAGTAACAACACGAACCTGTGCCACGTCCTTGGAAGCCGTTCTCTTGTAATTGGGGCAGCTTACAATGGAACGGTGACGTTGCAACTTTCAGACTATTCCTCGGAGTCTCTCATCCTGCGGCCCGTTTTCATCGAAGGGTAGTAATCACCGGGGCACATAACGCGTCTCTTCTTTTTGTCGATTTCCTTGATGATAAGGTTTTAGTCTCGCTTAATGCTCCATTAGGGGCGTTTACAAGGTTTCAGATAGCTCGAATCCTCTAATTCAACGTCGCAGCGTGTGTTCTCATGTTGATGGAAAAGTGTAATTCTGTTGATATAAAGCGACGTACTTAGGTACCTACCAGAGAAATACAAGTTGCGCGTATGATCTATTATTCGTATACCCGGAAGCCACCAGGTAAGAAACACGCGCGGTTATTACGATGAAATATCGTGCAGATGTTTGTAACGCAATCCACTGTCCGATTAATGCAACGAATATTGTCGTGTCCGTGTACAGGACGAAACCTCCCAGTAAGCACGCTTTAGGGAGGAGCGATTTCGAAGGATTTTCTGGTATCGATGCTTGCTCAAGACCCGCGATTACCCCGACCAACGACCATGTGGCACGAGACCGTGTCTGCCGCGGGCCACGAATTTCACACACGATTTCCCCCGAGTCGAAGAAATACCAGGCTGAAACACGCCGCGCGGCCAGCCCCGCCGTGCTTCTTTCTGTCCCCGAGAGATTGAAAGCAGCGTATTTATATTCGTCACAGTTCAGTCCTACCTTCCAGCCACGCTATGGATAATTGTCTATGATTAGCGGCAGGAATCAGCCCGGGATCTACGATCATTCGGGCAAATCGAAGCAGTAATCTCACTTATTTCGTACCTTTATCGCCTCGACATTACTAAATTGATTCCGTACACATGGAAGGATTTCATGTGCTGTTATACCGTGTCATTTCGACAATCTGTCGACGAGCACTTTGTAAAGAAATAACGTGTGCAGTGGATTTAGGGGGAGTGAATAGAATGTCTGTGCTATTATCGGAAGTGGAGGAAAGCGAGAAGGTTGGCTGCGATCGACACGCGAGCGTTGATCGTTTCATTGGCGAAACAAACGTTTGTGACGTTATTAGCGTCACTTGAGTTACATTTCTGCAAAGTTTCTAATTTTTTTAAATTTTCTGATTGCCAAATTTTCCTTGTGAGTCAAGTATGACTAAAAAGTCACATCAGTGTAAGTGCACTTCTCGTAGAGTCTATACACTACTTAGAAATTAAGAAAGAAGAAGAAAGATTAGATTTAATTAAAATAAATGTCATTTAAACGCTCGTGTGTCCCCAGCCAAACGCAGAAACCTTCTTTTCCTGGCAGCCATTGAAAAATTCCTTCTTCCCTGTACGCATACACACGTAATCAGTCGATTCTTGTAAGAATCACGTTATCCACGTGTTTTAATTAAACGAACGATATCACGCAGCGTAACACGTCGACTTTTATTCCCCCTTTTCACGCGGTTTCTTCGTTAAAAAGGAGCAACTGGAGGAGAGGCTCGAGCATGGAATATCCCGATGTCCCACGGGACGGGGTGCTTTTGTGTCGAACGAAGGGGGTCCATGACCGTGATTATGGATGAGCCTCATCGTCGACGGGGCCCCGCGGTCGCCGCACAATGGCACGCATTGATCGGCTTAATTACCGTGATATCGGCGTAATTAAAGCCCCGTTGTGTCAAGACCCTTCTCTCGAAGGCGTCGACGAAACCCGTGACTGGACTCCTGGCATCAGGATTCCCTCACCCTCCTTCCCGTTCGCCACCTTTTTTTTTTCTCTCCTCTTCACTCGCCGGAGAGACTGCTCTGTCACTTCCTCGCGCGCCTTGGCAACGCTTTGTTAATAAGCCATTATCCGGCGCGGTGACGCGCCTTCGACGAATCACCGCGTACTCCACGCTTCGGCCGTTTTCAATCACGCCTCGCTCGAAAAACGCGAGCCTCGAGACGCGTCGCTGGACCCTGCGGCGTCGCAGGAATCCCTCAGGTATTTTTATTATCCTCCGTTGCACTCCGAGGAGACTCTGCGAGGGTAAGTCGGAGAGAATGATTCTTATTCTCGGGCTAGCTGGGGAGAGAGATTCTTTCTCTAACAACACACCGTGTATAATAAATTTTAGAGCGAGTTAAACAGTCGAGAATCGTTTGTCATTTTCACGCGAGACGAATTGATCGCGTTGATTTTTGTATCTGAGAAAATTTGTCGTGTCGTAGTTTCATTGAACTTACACAGTGCTCTGTGTATTCGGAGAAATTCTCGTTATTGCGCGATACCGTTGGTAAAAGATTAATTCAGCCGGAAAGTCAAGCCAGATCTTCAAAGCGGAGACACCTAACCAAATCGTGCAAGACTCGCTTGCAAGCTTGACAGACATCGTGAGCAGAGAGTCCTGAACCGGTGAGTCAAGTTTCACATAGTCACGTTTAACAAATCGAGCTAGGATACGATCCCTGTCGCGGAACGGTCAATTAGACCGTGCAGAAAAAGGTCTCGCGGGAGAGAGGTTTGATTGATTTGCGATCGTCCGCTATCAACGTAACGAGCCGACCGAAAGTGTTAGAGAGGCACGGGTGAAGCCTGTGGCTTTCCGTTCTCCAACTCTGCTCGTTACCTTCCAACGTATCGTTATAATTACGAGGCGTTGGCGTTTACGAGCACGCTCGATGATGCCTCCTGTAGTACCTGTTAACCTCAACAACATTCTCTCCTCGCTTCGATCATTCGTTCGCGAGTAACTCGAGCGGCGTCCATCTCGTTAAAAGATTCGTTAACTTCTCACTTCACCGCTCTACCAACACTCTCACCGTACTATATCCTACGAATTTCGAAGCCCGACTAGAACTTCGTCGAAAGAAGTCGAATATTTCTTTTCTAGGAGACAAAGGAACAATTCCTTGGGTAAAAATCGGAAGGAACGTTTGCCAGTGTCGCGACGAGAAACGCATCTTCGTCGCTCCTTTCCCAAAACCACATCCACTTCTCCCCATCTATCGACACGAATTCCTCGGTCTCGGCTCGAATCCATCTTAGAGAATTACACTGTGGAATTCGCGCCCTCCCTGTGTTTCGTCGGCTGCCGCGCTGTCCATTTGCAATTCTGACACACTTCGCGGCGCGGCTATAGAAACGGGGGTCCGCGGCGAGGCCGCAACACAGGAATCTGTCCGTAGTTTGAAGGAGGAAGGTGCCGCGAGTGGCGGTTGCGTTGGAATACCAAACGATTCCCGGAAACCGCTTCTACCTTTCTACCCCCAGCTCTTTCTCCTCTTCAATTTCGTCCTTCTCGTGTCGTGTCGTCCTCCTGGTCCTCGCCGTCGTCCTCGTCGAAGACCCTCTCCCCGTGCCACGAAAAGTTCTCGGGCGCGATACGGAGGTAGAAGAAGAAGAAGAGAGGAGACGACTTCGACTCTCTCTCTCTCTCTCTTTGCTGGCCCAGGTTTAAGGGGTCGTTAAGAATGGGTTCGAGGGCCAGGGCCGTATATAACGGATAATTGACAGCCGTTCCTTGGGCCGGCGTTTACTTTGCATGGACATTGAATCCGCGCGCGGCAACGCCGGACGAATGGACGAATGGACGAGCGGACGGATGGATGAAACGAGACGAGAGAGCATCGACGACGTGAGGCCCACGAAATTCGGGGCCGGGAACGCGAGGGAGAGACGCCATCCAGCAGAGAGATACGAGAGAGGATGCCGTTAAGGGAACGACCGAAAGGGAGGCGGGGTGTAAAGGCAAATGCTCGGTTGGCCAGCCTCGTAAATTCTTCAATTCCGATGCTCGAAAAGGCACAAACGCGACCGTGACATGCTACCCTTCCTCCTCAGTCGCCACGAGCACACCGATTCGGCTTAATTGCCCGCCGCGCTGGAAAAACGGGACGATCCCGCTTGTGCCGGCGTTCAAGTCTCCGGCCGCCGAGCTCTTTTCTGACGCTACGATTCGAGCCTCGCTCCGTTCGGTGTTCAATGAACGATTTTATTCTTTCGTTCTTTGGATTTTCTTTGGTTTCTTAGTGTTTCAGGCGACCACTTTTAGTGACTTTATTTTTCGATTGTCAAAGCGTATTGAAACCAGTGGATCATACTTTGATTAATAAATATCATTTATGATCAGCTCGACACAGGAATTTTTGCCTTCAGATACCATACAATGATAAATTACGAATCACAAACGATAATAAACCATTTCTTTTACGTTCAAATATTGAAATAAAGGTAAACACCAAGATACCATCTAAAAAAGTGGTCAAACGAATGCGAATTACCAGAAAAGAGAGAGTGAAAGTAACTCGAATCGCAAAGGGGTTAAGCAATAA